ACTGTCACAGGATTTCTCAACAGAAACTATGCAGGCCAGAAGGGAGTGGCAAGAAATATTCAAAGTGATGAATAGCAAGAACCTACAACCAAGATTACACTACCCAGCTAAGCTATCATTTAGAATTGAAGGTCAGATAAAGAGCTTCACAGACAAGAAAAAGCTAAAGGAGTCCATCACCACCAAACCAATATTACATGAAATGTTGAAGGGTATTCTTTAAGTAGAAGAATAAGAAGAAAAAAAGATAAAAAATATGAACAAAAAAATGGCAATAAATACATATCTATCAACAATTGAATCTAAAAATCAAAATAAACGAACAAGAAATATAATGAACAAAATAAACTGATGAATAAAATAGAATCAGAGGCAGGGAAACATGGAACAAAATGATGAATCTTAGAGGGAAGGGGGGATGAAGGGGTGGGAAGAGATTAACCGAAGATCTTATATGTATACTAGAGGCCCAGTGCACAAAAATTTGTGCACTCGGGGGGGGGACCCCTCGGGGGATGACCACCTGCTGGCTTAGGCCTGCTCCCTGGGGGAACGGGCCTAAGCAGGCAGTCAGACATCCCTCTGGCAGCCTGGGAGCCCTTGGGGGATGTCCACTTGCCAGCGGGGAGCAGGCCTAAGCTGCAATCTGACATCTTTAGTGCTGCTGAGGAGGTGGGAGAGGCTCCCACCACCACCGCTGTACTAGCAGCCATCAGCCTGATTTGTGGCTGAGGTGGGAGCGCACTGACCACCAGGGGGCAGTTCCTGCATTGAACGTCTGCCCCCTGGTGGCCAGTGTGTGTCATAGTGACCAGTCATTCCCAGCCATTCTGCTGTTAGGGCCAATTTGCATATTACCCTTTTATTATATAGGATAGAGGCCTGGTGCATGGATGGGGGCCGGCTGGTTTGCCCTGAAGGGTGTCCTGGATCAGGGTGGGGGTTCCCACTGGATTGCCTGGCCAGCCTGGGGGGGGGGCTGAGGGCTGTTTTCAGGCTGGCCACACCTCCTTCAGGGTGGGGGGGTTCTCTGGGGTGCCTGGCCCGTCTGGGTGAGGGGGTGAAGGTTGGGCTGAGGGCTGTTTTCAGGCTGGCCACACCTACTTCAGGGTGGGAGGGTTCTGCTGGGGTGCCTGGAGGCTGGCCATGGCCCCCAGCAATCCAAGCTCCCAGTGGAGTCTGGCTGGAAGCAGGTATCTGGGATTTAATTATCTTCTATAATTGAAACTTTGTTGCCTTGAGGGGTGCTCAGGGTCGGCAGGGCAGGCGGGAAGCTTGGCTTCCTCTATCACCGGGTCAACCAAGCCTCCTGCTTGCTCCAGCTCTGTGGCTTCTGGTCGCCATCTTGGTTGGGTTAATTTGCATATAGTCGCTCTGATTGGCTGGTGGGCGTGGCTTGGGGAATAGCGGAGGGGCAGTCAATTTGCATGTTTCTCTTTTATTAGATTAGATTAGAGGCCCCATGCACGAAATTCATGCAAGGGGCTTGGCCCTTGTAGTCTTGGCCGGCTCTCGCAGCCCCTGGCTTTGTCCGGAAGGCCATCCGGAAGGACGTCAGGAAGGTCATTTGGCTATTCGGCCTAATTAGCATATTAGCTCTTATATTATGTTAAGTGAAATAAGTCACACAGAAAGTCAAGAACCATATGATGTCACCTCTATGTGAGACATAAAACTGAAAGCAACGAATGAACAAATATGACAAACAAAAACTCACAGACACAGACAACAGTAGGGCGGTTGCCAGAGGGAAGGAGTTTTGCGGGAGGTAGGAAAGGGTAAAGGGGGCCAAGTACATGGTGACAGAAGACGACTTGACTTGGAGTGAACACACAATGCAATATACAGATGATGTATCATAGAACTGTACCCCTGAAACCTATATCATTCTATTAACCAATGCCACCCCAATTAATTTAATAAAATTAAAAATAACAAACAAAAAAGGAATAAGGGAGGAGAGCAACAGCCTCCTCCGGAGTCTGCCCCCCACTCTGACTTCGGGAAAAGTGAGAAAAGGAGAGTGAGAGAGCAGGAGCTCCTACATGTGTGCCACCTGTGGGCATACATCAGGCGGGCCCCTGCACTAGCATGGCTGACAGGCGTGAGCAGAAGTGACCTGTGTGTCAGCTTCACACCAAAGCATTTCAGAGCAGGTGCTGCACTCCAGCTTCCCTTGGGTCTGGAGGTGTGTGGGCCTCGCGTTGAGATGGAAAGAGCTTGAGTCTCTGCATGGAGGGGAGGAGACCCCCAAACCCATGGCCGACTTTGTGTGAGTGGGAACTAAGCTTTGTTGTCACAGCCGCTGAGATTGGGAGTTG